GGGCGCATTGACGCGAATCTCTCAACGGAAGAATTGGAGTGTGAATACCACTTCCGTCAGACTCACTCAAGGGATAGCTCAGGTCGATATGTCGTTCGTTTGCCCTTCTCAGCTCCAGTTTCGTCATTAGGGAGTTCCTATCGTCCAGGGCTAGCTTGTCTCCATCGGATGCTCGGTAGAATCTCCAAAGATGCGCGTTTTCTCCAGCTCTACTCTGACTTTCTCAAGGAATATGAAGATCTCGACCATATGAGATTAGTAACTCGCTCAACTCATCGATCTTCGTCTTCGGTTCAGGCGGAAACCGCTTGTCATTCTGACGAGATGACCTTAGCACATGAAGCGCAAGCGTCAGGAGGGTTGAGGGTCTCTGAAGGGCTTCAGGTAGGGCCGTCTGACGCTCACAAGAGTTACTATTTACCTCATCATCGTATAGTCAGAGAGAGCAGTGAAACGACGAAACTGAGAGTAGTGTTCAACGGATCAGCGAAGACCAGCTCAGGGAACTCACTCAATCACATTCTCCACACAGGAGCCAAGTTGCAAAGAGATATCTCGGACGTGCTGCTCTGGTCAAGACAGCACAAAGTCATCTTCATGACGGACAACACCAAGAATGTTCCGCCAGATCAGAGTTCACGAGGATGACTGGCCCCTGCAGAAGATTTTATGGACCAACTCAAGTGGGGAAATAGTGACGTATCAACTGACAACAGTCACATACGGCTCAAGATCAGCTCCGTTTCTCGCAAATCGTATTCTTCTTCAGCTGGCTGAGGATGAAGGACATAGGTTCCCTTTGGCCGTCTCGCCCATCGTGAAAGGAAGATACGTTGACGACATCTGTGGAGGTGCAGACACGTATGACCAACTCGTTAGGACCGCTCAAGAAGTTTGTGATCTCTGTGCTGCTGGAGGAATGCCTCTGGCAAAATGGCATAGTAATCGTCCAGCGTCACTCCAGTGGCTCGCTCCGGATAGTGCCTCCAATGACCAGCGAGTTTATGAGGATTCGGAGACCCGGATTCTTGGTCTGTCGTGGCAGCCCAGCTCGGATAACTTCTTCTCAAGTCGGACCCGCGATGAATCAAAGCACTCTAAGAGGAACATCCTCTCAGAGATCGCTCAAATATATGACCCGCTCGGATTTCTATCTCCTGTCGTGATCAGAGGAAAACTGCTCATGCAGGAGACTTGGATTCGTACGCTCGGCTGGGAGGAGGAAGTCCCAGAACAAGTAGCTCAGTGTTGGAAAAGTGTTCGGAATGATCTCACTCTGCTCTTGAAGTTATCTGTTCCAAGATGGTTAGGCCTGCTCCAGAATTCGTCCATTGAAATCCATGGATTCTCAGATGCTTCTGTTCTCGCGATGTCAGCCGTAGTCTATCTCAAAGCCTTTAATGGAGACAAAGAGCTTCGGATTTCTTTGGCCTGCGTGAAAACGAAAGTAGTTCCTCAAACGGCTGACAATCATAAGGCTAGAGCTCACAGCTGCGGTTACGCTTGCCAAACTCGTTAAGTACGTCGAAGAAGAGCTCAATCTCTTGAACGCTCCGACGTTCTTGTGGACCGACTCATCAGTTGCGCTTACATGGATCAACTCACACCCGTCCAGATGGAAAGAATTCGTAAGAAATCGTGTGCTNGTCCAGCTCATACAAGAGACCTCGCGAGCTCGATGGAAACTCGTTCCTGGCAAGAAAAACCCAGCTGATTGCGCATCTCGTGGGCTAACCACAGCTCAGCTCTCTTCACATGAACTCTGGTGGCACGGACCACCATGGCTCATGAAAAGCTCATCGTCTTGGCCATCTCTAGAGCTCGCTTCAGTGGCATCAGCAGATCTTGAAGAGAAACCTGGTGTCATTCTCAACGTGAAGGTCCAGCGCCCAGAGATCTAGGATTTAGTTCATCGCTATTCTTCACTCAATAACGTTAGTAACAGCTCTGAATCCTGGTGACAGGCCCGACTGCTCTGGGTCAAGCTCACTCAGTCTGCGCACTTCTCAGCTGAGCTTACGACCTTGTCCAGAGCGCAACGTCTTATTTCATNGCTCATGAAAAGCTCATCGTCTTGGCCATCTCTAGAGCTCGCTTCAGTGGCATCAGCAGATCTTGAAGAGAAACCTGGTGTCATTCTCAACGTGAAGGTCCAGCGCCCAGAGATCTAGGATTTAGTTCATCGCTATTCTTCACTCAATAACGTTAGTAACAGCTCTGAATCCTGGTGACAGGCCCGACTGCTCTGGGTCAAGCTCACTCAGTCTGCGCACTTCTCAGCTGAGCTTACGACCTTGTCCAGAGCGCAACGTCTTAGTTCATCTCACTCACTCGATTGACAGCGTTCCTGGATCACCGGGGAGTTCTACGCGTTGGAGGGCGCCTGAAATTTGCTCAGCTCGACTGCGAAAATAAGCATCAGATCATCTTACCTCGGGGTTCTTAGTTCGCTCAGCTCATCATTCGAGATGCCCATCTCAGGACTCTGCATGGAGGAACGCAGCTCACTCTCGGTCAACTCAGAAGGTCTTACTGGATCCTCGGCGGAAGAGCCCCGGTAAGATGATTCATCCTGAAGTGCGTTCCATGCGCCAGACAGCGAGGGATCAGAGCTTAACAGCTCATGGGCCAGCTCCCAGTTGCTCGTCTCACTCCTGGCCGAGCGTTCCTCAACACTGGAGTTGACTACGCCGGACCAGTGTCGCTCCGCTCATGGAAAGGGCGTGGTCATAAGTCGTACAAGGGATGGATCGCAATTTTCGTCTGCATGACCACGTTCGCAGTCCATATTGAAGTCGTCTCAGATTACGCAGCCGATGGATTCATCACTGCGTATCGTCACTTTGTTGCCCGGCGCGGACTCTGCAAGAACTTGTTCTCAGATGGCGGAATGAACTTCTTGGGAGCCGACAAGGAGTTGAAGAAGGTCTTCTCGATGGCATCTAAGGAATCGGACAAACTAGCTCAGCTCTTGCTCAGCGATGGAACCAGATAGTCTTTTAACCCTCCAGGTGCACCACACTTTGGAGGCAAATGGGAAGTCGCGGTAAAGTCGGTGAAGTTCCATCTCAAACGAACGATCGGCGATGCCCTATTGACTTACGAGGAACTCACTACTTTACTCGCGCAAATCGAAGCTGTGCTCAATTCGCGACCACTGGAACCACCATCAGAAGATCCTGATGACGTCAGCGCGCTCACACCAGGTCATTTCCTGACTGGCCAACTTCATTTTCGACCAGACCTAGGCGAAGATTTATGACCTTTGTCTTCGAACCTGGCCGCTGAGTGGAAGCGGGACTGCTGGGGTCTGCGGAATTTACGCCTCCAACGATCTTGGGTGTACTCGCACCTTGACCATCGTATACGAACTCCAGTGGTGAAGTCGCTCTTCGAGAAACTATTGTCCTGAGCACGATTAATCTCTTTTTTTGTTACAGACCTGCGCAAAGAGGTGTCAGCGCCTGCTGACGGCGGGGGAGAATGTTCGGTTTTCCACCGAATTGTTTTTCCTCACACACACGCACACTCACGCACACTCGCTCATCTTGCATGCTTGCATGGCTTCTCACGACTGACCTGCGCAACCGACTTAACTGACCAGTGGCCTCTCACCTCTAACACCTGAGGCGCCACTTGATGGACAGGTGTCCAATGAACGCCCCCATTTAAATTGGGGCACGTTTGGATCCTCGATGATCGACACCTCCCACCTTGCGGTCCTTTAATCGGCCTCATTTGCATTTCGGCCATCGGACAGTGTGCTTTATCTTTCTCCGAACCGCTCTATTGTTTGCACGGATTTCCGCGTATAATTGCTCTGCGTCATAAGTTCTGTGAACTATCTAATAATATTGTGACCCACGCTGTTTGTTTGAACTTCTCTAATTAATTAAAGCTAACACGTGTATTCTTTTTTTGACTTTCATTTATTAAATTGACTGAGTTGACCAACGTGCACGTGTGGTGATTTGTAGACCTTCTCCCGCTCCTGTTAGAATCCATTTTTATCTCGCCCATCGCTCGGTTATTCCACAGATCTCAGACCCGGCAGCGAACACATCTCGGTTTTGCAATGAGAATGATCATGAACAATTTATTAAAACAGTAAATGTGGACGTCCGGATGAAAAGGGACCATTTTGACGATATGGAGTTATGTATACTCTGATAATATTGATTACATTCGACATATTTTGAGCCCAGAATGATCTTGCTACGGTCAAAAATAACGTAGTCGAAGAAAATGAAACAAAAAATTTAACATCGTTCTAAATGGGAGTTGCTGAGACATAGAATCGACAAAGTAGTCCCTTTTCATGCGGATCTGGCAAGAAAAAGGGCATAATGGGGGGGGGGAGCATCAGTACGGTGATCGCAATTGCGTCAGCTTCGAGAAAATGTNGGGGGGGGGGGGGGGAGCATCAGTACGGTGATCGCAATTGCGTCAGCTTCGAGAAAATGTAATAAAAGAAGTGGGGTTAAAGTAGCTCTACCCGTATGGTAAATTCAAAGATTAGTGAAAACTGCAAAAAAATTGCAGAAAACTCGATTAGATTCCGAATTCTAATTTTTTTCTCAATTTAATTATCGTTTTGGTTTTTCAAAGAAGAAATGTTTAAAAATCAGGATTTAACCTAGTGTCTTATGTGAAAATCAATATTTCCATTGCGGTCAAAGATTAAAATCTGAATTTTTTTCTTATTAGATGTGAAAAAATCAAGAATTTTTTTGACACCTTATAAAAAATAATCCACCGTTTTGCAAACAAGTTTTATTATTTATTTATAAGAGGACAATGTTTGAAAAAAAATCAATATTTTGCGAAATTTAATTTATATAATACTGACTGGGTATGAATTTTTTCAAATTTTTTCCATGCAATTTATTTGAAAAATTTTAAAAATTAAAATATCCAAAAGTGCAGCGTAGCCCGGCCGATGGGTAGAGCAACGTTAAACGTTGCCATAATGACCTAACTGTGGTTTTCAAATACATCACATGGCAAATTCCAAGTTCTCAGAATTCGAATGGCCTGTAATAGAGAAACAGCCTTTGTCTTGATAAAGTACATAATCTTTTTAGAAATTATTTGATCCATGTTTTATTTTTCTAGACCTTCAAGGGAGAGGTTCACCGTCTTATACTCTTCAAAGATACGCAGATCTCGCCTCAACCTCTCACAGTTCATTTTATAACTCTCTAAATCCTCAATTGTCAACACCAAATACCTGTTCTGGATGCAAACATAATTTTGTAAATACATCTATGGCAGATGGCCACCCACTTGCTGCTTCCTCTCACCACACAGCATCTGTCACTCCACTACAATACTCCACTCCAAGTTACAAAACTTTGTACTTGGATCATTCAAATTACGGGAAATCGATATCAACTGTCGGTGTGGAATTTCCAGAGTTGAATATTTTAAGCAATGAAGAGCTGAAAAGACTTGGAGAGGATACAGAGAATCTTGATACTTATCTGGAGGAACATGGAGAACTAAAAAATATTAATTTAGCAATCGATGAGGCTATCGATTATGTTGACAAAATTGCTAGTAAGTTCATAATTTTTTTTTTTCGTAGCCCACTTCCTCTTAAATAGCTAAAATTAGAATACTTTAGTCCATATAAATTCATTTTTCGAATCGAAAATGATGAAACGAACATGTTTTTAAATAAATAATCAAACTCTATGAAGGGCCAAGTCGAACAAGCTTTGTAGACACGCCCCATTCCAAATCTACTAATTCTAATATTAGCAAAATATTTCTAATTATAGATTCTAGGCGGAAAGAATATCATGTTATTTTTTTCTGTGGGAACATAGTAATTTTCCATATGAGGGTTCGATTTCAGAACCATACTTGCCACATGCCAAAATTTACTGTTCAACATGGCAAAAATTGAGGGTTGGTATACCGAGTAAAAGTTAGAAGGATGAAAATGGTTTTTGACTTTGTCAATTCGAAAAATATTCCCTTCTTCCCTTCTAAAGTAAATATTCATGGCAGAGATGAAGAAGAAGGGAGATTTTCCCGCTTTTTTTTATCATCCCTGAAAATTATTCTGAATAATTTTGCGCCATACATATTCATTCCGAAAAAATGGACAGGTGGAGGAAGGATTGAATTATTGAAAATTTTAAAAACCACCACCCGGTCCAGTACGTGGTCGACGTAGGGAGGGGATTTCTGCCATTACCCTTTCGGGTTTTTACGATTTGGTCCCTTCCCGCCCCCCTGTAACGCATTCGCCGAAGGACAAGGGAAAACCTCATTTGAGGGAAAAACCTGCTCAGGTACAGTCGTCTCTTGCGAGACTCCCACTCGACAATGAAACCGTGAAATTTATAGTGTCACAAATTTTGGCCCCCTGAGCCGGGAATCGACCCCGCGTCTCCCACATGCTAATCCCACACTCCAATCACACAGCCACCGCTGTCGCTGAAATGTTAATATTTCACCGGTATTAATCTCGATTCCTATGTTCAAATAGTAATTTTTTATTTTCTATTTTTTCTATTTTTGACTTTCATAATAAAATTTGTCGATTTTATGTAAATGTCCTCTCATGTTACATTTTTTTCAGTTCCTGACTGGTCAAGGTTTCTGGTTTCATCATCCTACATTGTCGTTTATAGATATTTGCTAGTATATAATTGACTAGTTGCTGTGACCGGCTTTTCCGGGCAACTTTTTTTTTCTACTTCTTATTTTTCATACGGAAATTATTTTTCAATTTATTCTTTGCTGATTTACACAGATTAGGAATAAAAATGAAAATCATTCGCTTCACAATTTTCGTGAAAATTATTAGGTGTATAATTTAATTTTTCCGTTTTTTTTAATCAAAAAATATGTAACATTATAAAATAGATAAATACTAGATCAATCCTCGAAATATCGTCCATCGTTTTAGGTGATCTTTCGCCATTGATCGGGCAACATACGAATGCCATCGCGAAAAAAACTTGCAGGCTTTGAGGCGATGAAAACATCGACGAATTTTGAACGAATTTCCTCCAAGGCGTGCTGCATGGACCAGAACAGATGGTAATCAGAACGGGAATAAGCCGCGTGCAGGACAACCTCCCAGCTCAAGCTTAAAATCGTCTTCTGTGTCACGCGAGCAATATGAGGTCGACCGTTATCATGGAGCAACATGATTTTCCGGCTCCCTTGCCCAGTAAATGACCTTTCTCCTCAAGTCCCTCGCTCAATTTGTTCAATTGTCGACGGTAGCGTTCTGCAGTAACTGTCTGACCCGTTTCCCAAAGTTCGTAATAGAGTACACCCTTCATATCTCACCAGATACAGAGGAGAACCTTCTTCATGTGAATTTTTTGTTGGGGAGTGGATGTCGATGGTTGTCCGGGATCCACCCATGACTTTTTCCGTTTGGGATTAGGAAAAAAATGTATTTTTCAACTCCCGTCAATTTCTGACAAAAAATTTTTCTTCTGGCACTTGGCGAGCAACGAAAGGCACGTGATCATGCGATGGCCGCGGTTATGTTCAGTCAGTTCGTGTGGAATCCATCTTCCTACCTTTTGTATTTTTCCCATTGCGTGTAATCGTTTAGAGACTACTGCTTGAGTAACTCCTAGCTGAGCTGTAAGCTCTTTTTGGGTTTGCGTTGAGTCTTTGTCGGGTAATTCTTGCAATTCAGCATCTTCAAATTTCAGAGGCTGTCCAGGGTGTTCCCGGTCATTGAGATCAAAATTACTATCTTTAAAGCTTTTATACCAAAATCTACACGTATCGTGAGACACAATATCACTTCCGAGAGTAGAACAAATGGAATCGTGGGTTTCAATGGCTTTTTCTCCTTGTTGGAACTCGTAGAGAATACAGTGCCGAATGTGCTGCGTATCGGTCGCCGTTGTATATACTACTGTTTTGTGAAGTTACATAGCTCTTCGAGGTATGAGATATAGCTTATTAAAAACAGTAAGGCTCAATCTTCAAAATCATAAACGGCGCGTAAATATTTAAATTTTAAGTAATAGACCGCACTCAATGAAAAAAACGCAAAGATTAAGTTATACACCTAATATTTAATGACTCATTCTCAGTATTCCTATGATAGACTAATGAATTGAAGAAATTTGGTTTTACTTCTCGAATTCGTTTCAAATTTCTGGAAATCCCTTGAATTCCCTCGAAAATTCCGGAAACTCGCGGATTTCTCCCGAAATTTCTAGAAACGTCTCTATTAGTTATACAGTGGAGTCCTTCGAGTAGCAAATCACTTATACACAGTGCCAATTAATATTAGAATACTGTAGATGTATTTGGAGTATCAAACAACATAATACAGAATATGTATACATCACCGAAGCCGGGCTAAGCAAGAATGTGTCAGGTTGGGTTTGAACGCATGATATGGAAAGTCCGATTTCAATTATATAAGATTGATGAACAAGATTTCTTTATATGGGACATTCCATGTCAACTCAGTCACCCCGGATTTTTTTTGTCTGGAAAAAATCATTTAATAATTGTATTTTGAACTGCTATATATAGATAGCATTCGTGCCAAATTTCATTCCCCTGTCATTTTTTGTTCCTGAGATAATGATGACAAAACTTGGAATTTTCAACAATTCATATTTTTTGAACGGCGCATGCGATTTGAACGAATAAAAAACGAAAATTTTTCTTTTTGTTTGTACTTTGAGAAAAAAATACTACAGAGCCATGAATTAGCTTCTTCACTGATTTTCCAAGGAATGTTTACGTTTCTATTTTTTTTTCGTCTCTACGGCCTTTCAACATTCGATCGGAATAATTTTTTTCTGATAGAGGATGTCCATATATGATATAAAAAAAATACACCATCATGGAAGAGACGACAACTGTGTCGGAAAATTTTTTTTTCTGAAACTTGTATTTTTTCGCCTTCTAGGGGAACTGCCTAGTTTTTACCAAAAAATTGATGTTCCAATCAATACTTTTGGTTACTATATCATAGATAAGAAAATCACTACCACAGAAGAGAGAAACGGTACGCCGGAGAAAATTATTTTCTCTGAAATTTTTGCGTTTTTTCAACATTTTTATAATATTCAACAATAACAATCACTCTAGAATAACTTTTTTCAATTGTTCGAAGGGTTACGCAATGCGTAATATCAGAAATAATCTTTTCAGCACTATCAAGTAGAAAAAAATTGGAAAAATTGATTGAAAATGACTCTTTCGGTGACAATATACCTATAACATAAGACAGGAATCCTCAATGTTGTTTCCTCTGAGTTTTCTTCGGAAAAACCTCCTCATTGGCTGAGGCAGAATAGCGTTTTATCACCAATTGACCCCCTAGTCGTGGAATGAAACAATGATTCTTGTGAATAGCAGGAATCCCTTTAGCTTTATCGAATCTATATTTCAGTTCTGCTTTAATCTTGTCGTCCTCGTCTTTGGTGAAGAAAAAAACGTCAATCCCCAGTGAAGTGATTCTTAGCCCATTGGAATAGAGCATTTGGTGTGAGCATTGGTTCACCATCAACTGTTTGTAGGCTTTTGCGTTTAGCTTCTCTTTTCAAAACTGGTCCGACTCCATCGCATACCCGTCTACCGTACGCGGTTATGTGAAAATGAGCCTATGCGTCGATGCCGAAATCAGCCTTATGATTCAAGAGATTAGCCATTTGGTAACGATTTTTCTAATGCTGAGTAGCGCCGTCTGTTACATAAATCATTTTTCGAACATCACAATTTTTCTTTACATGCTCGATCAGAATTTTCTGTACCAAATAAACAGCAGCAGTATCGTGGAGTAGACTGTCTGATAAGATAACTAAACTCTTATTTTGGATATCATCATCTTCACGGTAGTAATACACCACCAGGTGGACTGTACACTGATAATTATTGTAATGCAAAGATTGAGCAGCCTCTTGAGCAACAAAACAATAATTCTCAGCAAAATCACAGTGGACAAGCACTACTCCTTTATCCAAATTTTCCCTTCGTTGCTTTACAAAAATTGATTGCTCAAGAGCGATGAAGTGGTTGGGCTTCAGTACTTTCAACTGTTCAGCATGTACATCAACGAATTCGTTCACCGGAAGTATCTGTGTTTGCAAGGTGCACCTGTCAGTACTTTGCCACACTCGGAACTCGATATTTTCAATTACAGCTTTCGAGAGGAGTCTTTTTAGCTCACATGACAATTGGTCAAGTCCTGGGCAATTCTTACATTCATTCAAATGACAGGCCGGCGTGGGATTTTGACACATGATTCTGCTGAGACAATCTTTGTAATCTGTCATTGGGCATGGTGAATCCTTTGTTAGAACCCGGAGATTGATAGCATCTAACATCAGTTTACAATTTTGGTGGTACGTGCAAACACATACCACGCGTGTGCCACTCGCTCCCGCCAATATACATTGCTCAGGTCTTAATTCTGCGAACTTACAGAAACCAACTGCAACCTCTGAGTGAGTGGCTTTGTACTCTCGATAGAGATCTTCCAAATTTTCGAGTACCATTTGCTTCTGTTCTATTCTTTTCTCTTCATTAATTTTAATCGATATCTTATCTTTCATCCCGGGCATAACCCGACTATTTTCTAGATAAAAACTTCACACCTTTTGAACAGTTTTGGCTGGTAATGGATGACGAGTCCTTGCAGTTGGTGAAGCAAATACTCCCTTCAATTCTCTCAACTTTTTTGCCCTCTCCGCCATGTATCTCGAAACACCAAATTCGAGCGCTATTTTTCGGGCATTCCATGATCGAGGAAGAATGGTTAGAATTTGCAGACGCTCACCGTACGAGTCCAAATCGTTGAACTTTTCCTTCAAATCATTCAACATTTCCTCTAATTCCAGTTATCTGGGAGAATGATACCGT